TTGGACAAAGTCAAGGTTTTTTTACTCTTCTGCTTTGCAGTTTGTTCTGCTTCTGAGTATAATTAGCTACCCATTCCTTCTCTTTTTCTAAGCTTTCTTGGGTTTCTTGAATTTTGAGTGTTTGAAGTTGGAATGTGGCTTTCTGGGATTTTCTAGTTGGTTGAATTGTTGTTCGCAAAAGGGGGTTCTATTTGATTCTACTCCCTCCGGTCCTTAATATAAGGCATTTTGATTTATCCTAGGTCTAACCTAGTACACGTTTTTAATCGATGAAAAAACCTTAAAAATATTTCATAACAATTAAGAGAGCACAATGAATATGAAAATATATATTTAAAGTTTTTTTGTCAATTAAAAATGTGTATTAGGTAAAACCTAGGGAAAGTCAAAATGACTTATAATAAGGACCGAAGAGAGTATTGAATTCAGTGTAATTTTCTGGGATTTGTTCTCTTGGGCTTGTGTCTGTGGTTTTGTGACTTTCTCTTTCTTTGGGTGTAATTGGGATTAAGGCTTTGCTTGTTCATTTGCCTTGAAAGTTCTAAGCTCTTTGGAGTGAAATCAAAGTTCTACTTTTCAATTCTTTGCTGAAAAGTGAAGCACAAAGTGAAGCCTTTTCTATTCTTGGTGCTTTGTTATTTGTATTCTTTCTTGTTTTTCTCGCATTCTTTTGCTCAGTTCATATCTCAATATTTTGAGTAAACGAATGACAAAACTTTAGTGCAAACTGTCTAAGAAATGATTGGTGAGGGTCATGTGGCAAGGATTATGAATCCCACATTGGAGGCATGAGGACATGTTAATCAGTTAATAAGTAAGGTGGTCTCAGAACCCATTAGCTTGAGCTTTTGAGTTCAGATGGGTCTTATCTTACTTATTGGGCTCCATGTCGGGTTTTTCCTCCAGATTAATCCCCAACAGTGGTATCGAGCACGAGTTGGGCCGGTTGGGTAGGTGATTTAGCCCAAATTATCTCGGTTGATCCGACCGAACCCGGGCGGTCAAAGGCCCACTACGAGCGGAAGCGTAGGGATGAGCGGCTCGATTACTCGGGTGGAGTACAGATTTGGGCTTGTCAAGATAATTTGGAAGCCCGATGTGGAGATTGCCCATGACGGGGGAGAATGTTGAGGGTCATGTGGCAAGGATTTTGAATCCCACATCGGAGGCATGAGAACATGTGAATCAGTTAATAAGTAAGGTGGACTCAGAACCCATTAGCTTGAGCTTTTGAGTTCGGATGTGTCTTATTTTACTTATTGGGCTCCATGTCGGGTTTTCTCGTCCGGATAAATCCCCAACAATGATTAAGGTGACTGAGTTTTCTTTCATTTTTCTGCTTGGTCAGTTGGTATAATTATGCTATGATATTCTGAATTTGTAGGAAACGCCCCCTGGAACATGCATAATTTTGGTTTGGAACATACTATGATGTTGCATTTTCAGTTTTTGTCTATTGTACTTGTTAAGTGACAGTTCGTTCTGGTGATCTATTGTAGGTGTAGTTCACAATGTCTAGTTTGCAATCTCAAGAGATAACCAGCGAATCCACTACTGGTGATGATGAGGATCGTAAAGGACTCACTTCCGATGTCCTGGAAAGGCTTTAATATTGTGAAGGTTAATAAAAGAAGAAAAGTTGTTTGTAAGATTTATAAAGCGAGAATATGTTGCCGACTCAAAAGCGAGTACGACAAATTTAGCTCGCCATTATAAAAAAAAACATAAGGATGTACAAATTGGTAGTGAGCCTAGATTGGTTTACGTAAATCAAGATGTCTATAGAGAGAAGATGGCGGTTGCCATTGTGCAACATCATTATCCTTTTAGTTTTGTGGAGCATAAGTTAAACCGAGATTTGCATTGTTTTTGAACCCTACGGTGAGTTTTATATGTAGAAACACAAGCAAAGCAGATGTTTTGAAACTTTACCAGAAGGAGAAGGAAAAATTGAAGAAGGAACTTGAGTCAATCTCTGGGAGAGTTTGCTTGACTACAGATATGTGGACATCGGTTGCAACCGATGGATATATGTCGGTGACTGCGCATTATGTTGATAGCGAATGAGATTACAAAGTAAGTTGCTTGTTTTTTCATCATGTGCCTCCACCTCTCACTGGTGCTGTACTAGGTGAAAAGCTTTTTGAGTTTTTGGAAGAATGGAGAATTTCAAAGAGTATTTACTATCACTTTGTACAATGCCAAATATAATGATAAACCTGTAGAAACATTATCGACTTATTTTGTTTTGATAACTCAACTGTGTGTAACAATAGGTTTCTACATGTTCGTTGTGGGGCACATGTTTTAAATTTGATTGTCAAATCTGGTTTGAAAGTTATTGAGAAAGCTATCCACAAGATTAGGGAAAGTGTGAAGTACTTGAAGGGTTTTGAGCTACGTACCAAAAAGTTTGTTGATCATGTCAAGCAACTTGGTTTGGATTACAGGAAGAACTTGACACAAGATGTGTCGACGGTGGAATTCCACGTATTTGATGCTTGACAGGGCTCTGATTTATAAAGAAGCTTTCTTCCGGTTGAGTCTAAAACATAATGATTTCAAGAAGTTTTGTCCTTCAGATGAAGAATGGGATATGGTACAAAGTATTGCTGAATTTTTGAAGCCTTTCTCAGACTTGACCACTTTGTTTTCTGGAATAAAGTATCCCACAACAAATCTGTATTTTCCGAATGTTTGGAAGATTCAGTTGCTCCTTGAGAAGTGGATAATGAGGAATTCGTTATTGCTCACATGGCTATGGATATTAGAAACAAGTTCCTTGACTATTGGGATTGTTATGGTAGGGTGTTATCACTTGCTGTGGTGCTTGATCCCCGTTACAAGTTGAAGTTTGTGGAATTCTGTTTCAATATGTTAGACCCATTGACCCGTAAAAGTAAAGTTGAGAGGTGGATAAGGATTTGAGGGATTTGCTCCTTGAGTATGAGACCATTTTGTACTCTAGTCAACCTTCACAGACTTCCGCTAGTGGGGTTGTGGTTCCTTCTACATCTCCTACTGCGGTAAGTATGAATAAATTTTTGCTTGTACTTCTTCTTATTGCCTGCTATTGACTATACTGTTTAAAGTTTTGCATTTTGTGGTACTATTTGCATTAAAAAAGTATGTGTATCACTTTTTCTTTCTTTTTTTTTTCTCTCTCCCGTCAAATAAAAAATAAAATTATCTTCAATTGGTTTATTCTCGCCATTCATTATAGGGTTTTGATACATACAAGTCTCAAGATTTTGGAGGGTCGGTTGCTACGGAATTAAGTCCGAACTGGATTTGTACCTTGAGGAGCCAATGCTAGAACGTCATAAACATTCGATTTTGACATTCTCACGTCTTGGAAAAGTAAATCGAGACATATCCACGACTTTCTCTTATAGCTTGAGATATCCCGAGTGTCCCTATTACCACCATTGTATCGAATCGCTTTCGGTGACGGTGGAAGAATTTTAGGGACGTATCGCACATCTATGTTACCAAGCAAAGTGGAGGCGATGATGTGTACCGCGACTAGTTGTCTGCAGATTGCTTGAAGATGAAAATGAAAATTCGAAGAAAAATTGCTCGAACTTGATTTGAGCAAATTCATCACCGAAGAAGTTTCTTTAAATGTTGATGAACGGAGGTTTATAACTTGGTCGTTTAAGAATAGTATTATTGTACTAGTATAATAAAATTTTGATTTCTTACCCTAAAACCAAGTTTTCTAAATGGAGTATGAAATAAAGTTGCAATAATTAAGAATAACATTAGAAACAAATACTTGATTTAAAAATATAATAATAAAATAATAAAATGAGAGGACAAAGTTCCAAACATGCTAAACTATACAACAAAATAGAGAATATAATTCCAACACGGAAGTGATAAAAATTGTCCAGGCAAACCAACGTACATAAATAAGTCCAATGAGTTATAAAATACAAGTGTATGTTTTAAATAAATATAGATTTTATTTGAAAAAATCTCAATTCGACCCGCATATCGTGACCTAGTTACTTGGTCGACTCGGTTCGCCACGGGTCGATCCAATTAAACTTAGCTCGAAACGTAAAATTTTATAGTCGAACGAGTTTTAAAAGGTAAATCTGATTTTATTTGTAGAAAAATCCCGTTCGACCGTATATCGTGACTCGATTACTTGGTTGACCGAGTTCATTACACGGTCGACCTAGTTAAACTTGGCCCAAAACATAACGAATTTTAAAAGATAAATATAGATTTTATTTGAAAAAAAATCCCAATTCGACCAGCATATCGTGACTCGGTTATTGGGTCGATCCAGTTCGGCCCACGGGTCGACCCAGTAAAACTTGGCCCGAAACGTAAATATTTATAGTCCAACGAGTTTTAAAATACAACTGTAAGTTAAAAATTTTTGATTTTAAAATGGTTGTACTTTTTTTTGCCAAAAATTGAAAATTTGTAAATTAACCCAATAAAAACAAAAAAAATAAGTCATAACCCGCGGGTTGACCCGTACGGGTCGAAAAATTATATTGGCTAAAAATGAGTAACTGACCCGCGAGTTGACCCACGACTGGCACCAACCCGTCTTGATCCAACCCGTCCTGACCCGCGCTTATGACGGGTTCGGTTGGGTCTTGACCCGTCTCCCTCCAAACCCATCTTGACGCAGCCCGCCCAACTGTCAGGCCATATATTAACTGCTATAATAATAATTCCAAAAGTTAGTGAAGCTTTTAAAAAATAATAAAAATAATTTAAGCGTACTTTTTATTGCCTTTCTGAACTTGTTGGATGCTCTCTGAAAAAACACATCGCAACAAAACACAGTCTCCCTCCAATCTCAGTTACACACGGCGGGAAATCCCCAAAACCGAAAACCCTCCCTCCAAATTTATACCCCTTTCTCTTTTAAAACCCTAATTTCTCCCCCTTTTCATCCTTCCCAATTTTGCGTTTCAGTTTCTTTCGTGGTTGAACAGAAGGACACAATTTTGCGGGCTGTACATGCAATTCCAATGGCGGTTCCTTCTACCGCATTGATCAATTTGAACGAGCCAGCTGACGGCGGTGAAGGGAAAATCGAAGATTGTGTAGATACAGAGGAAATAAAACCGACTGAGCTATTGCGTTCTTCGAATTCGCAGCTTCTTCGGGGTCCTGAAGTAGTCGAGGAAGAGGAAGACGGAGGTAAGACTCCGCGACGTTACGTTCCATTGTGCGATGTGTATTCCGCTACTTCTCCTTGTGTGAGCTCCATTAGTGGGGGTTCGAAGAAAGTGAAACCTCCTCACCTGGTTCATCACCGGAAATCGCTGAATCATCTCAATGGGTTTGATTCTTCTGACAATGATGATACATTTTTGTCATCTGCCGATGGGACAATGGACGGAGTAATAATGGAGAGTAATGGTAGCGTTGAGGATAGGAGTAATGCCGGTGATTGCAAACGGAAACACATTATCACTAAGGTTTACTCTCGGCGAGACAAGGGCAAATTTACTGGAAAGGTTAAAGAAGTGAAGGTTGAGGATGTAGAGAAAGTGCAGGAAAATTTGCGATTAAAGGCTGTTAATTTGAGTGCTGGGAAGGGAAAAGAACTGGAAGAAGTAGGGGTTGAGGAGGAGGTTGATGAATTGGTTCCCAAAAAAATTAAGAGGCGAAAAGTTGGGGGGTACGAACTAGCAAATCTAGGGGTCGATTCTGCTGCAATTAGGAATTTAGGCAGCTTACAGTTCAGAGAACCTAGAAAAAGCACTGTTTTTAGTGGTAAAAGTCCTTACAAGAATGTTAGTTCAGCGGAAACAAACGGGGTTGTAAATAGTGTAAAAAAGAAAATGCGGAAGAATAAGAGTGATTTGGAGAATGAAGTTAAGAATTCGGGCGCTTTCAGAATGAAGAGATGGATGCGGTAATGATATACTATCTTTGGCATTTTGTTTTCTTTGGGTTATGATGATTATCACTATTTTTATGGATGATGTTCTGTACCCAGGTTGAGTTTTGATGGGGCAGATCCTGATAAATTTGTTGGACTACGATGCAAGGTTTGAGCTAGTTTATTGCAGGCTACTTTTTAAGCTTTCTTGTTTACTTATGGTTGTTTAATTGTAAATTGAATGGTTAAAATTTAGGTGTTTCATAATTCTATATTTGGGTATTATTAGTTCCGAAAATGTTAAATTTATCGGTCGGGAAGAAAGATGACTAGTTTTTCTTCATTGTGTTTTTGAATGGCATTGGACAGATCTTTTGGCCTTTGGATGCGGATTGGTATACTGGTCAGGTTCTTGCATATGATTTCAAGACAGGCCGACACCATGTAAGTTTTCACCCGTGTCCTCTATATGTGCCTTTTTCCACAAGACATGTCATGTGAGTACACGTTTTGTTCTGTGTTCACTGATTTCTGTTCTATCTTTGGTAAATGTAGATACTCTTTTGCATCCCATAAAGTAATTTTACTTGCATACATTCATAGACATGTTTTGCATACGGTTTAAGATATTGGTTGTTTTAGGTCTTTGCCTTCTGTTATATGCGCTGCATTTCATGACAACAGTTTGATTTGATCACAGGTCAAGTATGAGGATGGTGATGACGAGGAATTAATTCTTTCAAATGAGAAAACTAAATTTCACATTTCTCTGGAGGAGATGCAGTTGTCAAAGTTGAGGTCCAGCGATAATTGCTCAGATGGGGATGGAATTGATGTCAATGAGTTGATGGTGTTGGCTGCTAGTTTGGATGATTGCGGAGAGCTTGAGCCTGGAGAAGTAATCTGGGCGAAGCTTACTGGTAATTTTGCATTCCTTTATTTCATATCTGCTTGAGTAACAGATATGATTTATGTTGGCACTTTCAGTTTGCCCATTGTGGACGTTATTAGCTTTGCTTGTTACTATTATATTCGCATATGCTTTAGTGATTAATATCATGCTAATATCATACAAATTGCCGTGATGTGGGCTAATCAGCCAACCCTACATCATACAAATTTAATAAGGATGGAAGACTATCAGCAGATTTAATGTTGTGTTGAGTTAAATTTAGGGAGAAATTGTTTCACTTGTTGAAGCAAGTTCCTGGTCACGAGCGAGAAACTGGCTCAAATTCCACATAAATAGTTCATGCTTTGTCCTTCTCAGTGGTCAATCTCTAACCAAAGAGGTTCGCAATGTTTGAAGGTAGATACGTGGGTAACTCATCTTCTTGGCCCGCTAGTTCGTGCTAAGTGAAAGTAAGAGATTACTCAAGTGAAATTTTCTCCTTAAAAGTTTGCAATTATGAAAAGGGGAGTTTTTATAATCAATGAAAGTATTAACTCTTTAGGAATGCATTTCTGCTGTTGGGTAGTAATATGGAGGCAACTCTCTGAGCATTAGTATAGTAAAATGTAGCCGTAACATGATCATCAGTTATGCACCCTTAAGGTTATGATTATTAAATATTTGAAGAAGTAACTAGATTAGAGAGATCTAGTTTGAAACTTCAAATTTTAGCTGTTGCTGGACAAATTTTATTGTTTCAGCTTCAAGTTGCTGATGTGACATATAGTAGTTTCGGTCAAGTTTACTTTAAGGTCATTGGTTTCTTGCTTATTCTTTGATGTTCTGTTCTGGATATATGGGAGCTTGGAGGTAAACAGATTTATAACGTCTTCACATTTATGTTAACCCTATTGCTCTTGAAAGTGACCTCTAGTTGCAGCCTATTGATTTGCAATTTTCCCGATGATTGAAGTTGGGAATTTTTTTTTCCTTCTTTGGGGGGGGGGGTAATGTGAGGAGGAAGTTCTGTGTTCTCTTTTGCTCTATGATCCTCAACCTGCAGGCTATGGATATAAATAGGGTAATTGTGAGGAGGAAGGTCTGTGTCTCTTTTGCTCTATGATCCTCAACCAGCAGCAATGCATATAAATATGTTTAGCATGCTGCATGAATATTCTGTATGGAATCACCAGTCAAAATTCCCATCTCCACAAGTAGCTACTTGATTAAATTTTGTGCCAAAATATCATGGTTTCATGTCTATCAGTTATTGTGTTATCTCCCAGATCTTAAAGGAAGTTGGTGAAGGTATTTGGTGTCCTGATTTTGGATGATAACCTGTCAAGAAGCATAGATGTCATACAAGATGTATAACTTATATGTGGTTTTTTTGATTAAACTACATGATTTTCTCATCTGTAATGGCCTTGCCGAGCAGACTAATTCATTTCAGAATAGTTTGTCCCTGAGTTCCTTCTCCCTCCCTGTTTACACTTGATTATGCTTTCTGACATACAGGTTACGCAATGTGGCCTGCGGTGATTACGGATGAATCTCTTGTTGGCGAGCATAAAGGATTGAGTAAAACTTCAGGAGAAAAATCAGCTCTTGTTCAATTTTTCGGCACTCATGATTTTGCAAGGTGTAATAATATTAATAAATTCTTTGAGTGATGTTTTTCTTTACCAACATGTCAGCTATTTTTAACAATATTGCGATGCACTTTCACTGTCAGGGTTAAAAAAAAGCAAATGATGTCATTTCTTAGAGGACTTCTTTCTTCTTTCCACCTGAAGTCTAAAAAGGCAAACTTTCACCGGAGTCTGGAGGAAGCAAAATGGTGAGCTTCTTTTTTCCTGTATTCCTGTAGCACCAATTTCAATATCCAAATTGGTGAAGGGTCTTTTGAAGTGGGATGCTGTTTCTCCAATTTAACTATGCCTGTTCTGGTGCATGCTTTAAATTGTATTTTTCAGCATTGTAGTATGACGACAGCATGATAGTTTTACCCTTCCCCAATGTTTATGCCCAATTTTGCAACATAAATATACTTGATAAACTTTTTAAACATAGCTAGTGACTTCAATGTCTAATTAATGTAAGATGGAATTAGTAATTTATGGAAGTTTTTTAGGTATTTGAGAAAGCTAGAGCTACCACCGAGGATGGCAAAGATGAGAAATGAATTTCGGGCTGACAGTTGTAATGGTGAAATTGGAGAAGATGAAAGTACTGATTCAGAGAAAGAGACCATCGGCAACAAAGAGATTCAGAGAAGAATTGATGCAGTGAAAAGTTTTCCTTTTGAAGTTGGGGATTTGCAAATAGTAAACCTTGGTAATTGTCTGCATATAGCACTATATCACATTCGTTCCTTCAACATTATTGGATTATTTACATTAGTAGAAACTTAAGTGTGATGCTGTAGTTTCTTGCCGATCTAACCAAATTGATTATCTCATCATGTTCCTTTTACCTTTTTTCAGGGAAGGTTGTAAAAGACTCTGACAATTTTCAAGATGAGAAATTTATCTGGCCTGAAGGGTATACTGCCTTAAGGAGGTTCTTCTCCATTGCAGGTTGTTTATTTGTTAAGGTGTAATTAATACATTGTACTTTGACGTTTGAACCCTGTGGGTCTGCCGTTGTGTATTGAACTTTTACTCTTTTAAAGAGATTTGTAAGGCATTTAAGTTGATTTCCTTTTGTTTTGGTGGGTTCAGATCCAAATCTCCTCGTAACATATAAGATGGAAGTGTGCAGAGATGACGGTTTAAGATCCCGTCCTGTTTTTAAAGTTACATCAGAGAATGGAGAGCAGGTAGAAGATGGTTTGCTGATGTTGAATCCTGATATTGCTGCTAGATGTTTTCAACATAAGTATCTAGTTTTCTAGCTCTTTTTTGCACTTTTTTTTGGTCCTACCTTTCTTGGTGTAATTCTGTGTTTGACTTTCAATAATTGGTTCTTCGATGCTGTTTTCTGTTTCATGTCACTTGTTATGGTATTTGAATTTTACACCTTTTGTTTCTAGGGTAGTTTTTTTCTAGATTTCTTTGATTAGTGAAGATAATGAGTCACGGTAAATTATTACCGTGTATCTCAAGGAACTGAGTGTTAACATGTTCATTCAACCCTATTAGTTTCTCAGCTTTGGTAATTCATTTGCATATGATGTTGTGTTTAATGATATCATTTCATATGTCATACAGTTTAGTGGATCGACTCCTTCTGCCTGCTGGAACAAAATTTATAGAAGACTGAGGAAGACAGAATCTGAGGGTCTGAAGGCATCTGTACCAGAAAAGAATTTTGACTCTGGTGCTGACATGTTTGGTTTTTCGCATCCTGAAATTTCAAAACTGATAAAGGTACTGGGATGTTAAATTTCCTTGGAACATTGTTTCTGGTTCTGTTATCTTACTTCATGCATCTATTTCTAGCCATCCACCATTTTACTGTACACCATTTACACAGTGCAGCAGAGTGTTAATGCCATTCTGATGCTCCGTTTGTGATACCTTTTAAAGGCTTTTGGATGGTATTAAAATAAATATTAAGAGTAGAAATATGGTTTTTGCTTAAGATGTGCTTAATGAATGTAAGCATCAGAAGCTTTGTGGCCAACTTTTGACAAACATTAGGAACTTTTTACGGGTAGGTTGCTCGACAGAAACATCAGATTGACAAATGTGGAGGAAATATTTTTACTCAATTTCCCAACTTCTGGGAGAATGTTGGCTTGGCTTCTAATTTAGCGCCTTGGAGGATTCGTTTCTTACCTCAAAGTATCATTTTCCAGGCTGAAATATCATTTTGATGCTGACAAGATGATAAAATTCAAGTTTAGCTGTGTGTAATTTTATCTGCTTATGACAATGGAAACTTTTCCTTCTCTATGAATATGATTCAGTGATTTGTCACTCTTAGTTGACAATTTTCTTTTGTTTGTTTCCTGAAAACTATTATGTGTATTGTCAGGAGTTAGCTACTTCCACATCCAGACCTTCCTCTAAAGCCCACAAGATATCACGTGCAAGGTATCATGATTTTCCCGTTGGTTACAGGCCTGTGGATGTGAAATGGAAAGATCTTGACAAGTGTAATGTCTGCCATATGGATGAGGTAGAACTTCGATTTTTGAGTTGTACTTTCCTTTGATATTCACAATATCTGTTCCATACTTCAGTTGCCTTACTGTTAATGTTGCTTCTGTTTACTCATTAGTTGACGTCGTCAAATTGTATTCTTTTTTCTCTCTGTGATAAGTGATAACAGTTCCTTTTGTTTTCTTTCAGGAATATGAAAATAATCTATTCTTGCAGTGTGATAAATGCCGAATAATGGTGAGTGGTTATGCATAAGTTTGGAATGTTGAAATGGTAGTTTAACTTGGAGAAAGATTGCATTTTGTTAAAAGTAAAATCAAAGGAGTAGGTTTGCTAAATCCTTAAGTTCCTAAAAAATTGTTAATCTGAACCTGCCTCTGGTAATCTGGTGGAACTGGAATTCAAGCTCAGGTTCAAATATTGCAATGACGTTTTTACAAAGGTAGCTTGAGCAGCTGCTATGTTAATAGTAGTTTAGGCTGTATTCTCACTATGTCCGGATTGTAACGGTTAGATTTGAATTCACCAACCAGAGCAGTGGGCTTGGTTTTTCTCTTCCCTCAACGGGCTTTTGAGTTTGGGTCCATGCCTGTCCTATAAGTTTAGCTTTTGAAGTGTATGTCATCAGGAGATAGTAGTTTTACCTTTTAGCTATGGTGGAAGAGTGTCGGTTTCATGTGGTATTGTTTAATATGGCTGATAACGAAAAGCTACTTTTTAAATAAATATAGAAAAAACTCAGAAGTTAACTGATGTAACGGAAGAAGATTGAGCAGAGTTGTCATAAGATGGAGAGATGATAATGGAAGATGTCTTTGGAAGTTTTTAGGTTGATTTGTAATTGCGGTTTTTGTTGACCGTTCACTAGTGTTATCCCATTTTGTTCCTCTCATCCAGTTTTGGAGACAACGAACACTTTTGTAGTACTAATAAACAAATTGCTGGTCCTTCTTACACATCGAATTACACCTTTTTCAACTTGCTTTTCTTTCTTATTCTTCTCAGACAAACAGAATTAAATTTTGCGTCTTTTAGCCTCTTTACGTTGCTGGTCTGCATTTTCCTGCTCATTCTTCAGGTCCATGCTAGATGTTATGGTGAATCAGAAACCATGGACGGGGTTGTTTGGTTGTGTAACTTGTGTCGTCCAGGGGCGCCTGAACACCCCCCTCCTTGCTGCCTATGTCCTATTATAGGTGCTCTCCCGCTCCTCCTCTCTTTTTTTCTTCCCCCACTATGACTCCTATCTAAGTATCTACAACCATTTTTCACATGCTACAACTGATATATGGTTTAGGGGGTGCCATGAAGCCAACTACAGATGGTCGTTGGGCTCATCTTGCTTGTGCCATCTGGATACCAGGTATCATGCTCTGTAGGATTAATACTCATTTATATTTGATGAACATTTGCTTAATAGTTTATTTACTTCTATTATGCTGTTTTTCCAGAAACTTGCTTATTTGATGTCACGAAGATGGAACCTATTGATGGTCTGAGTAGAATCAATAAGGTATAGCACATTTACAGTATATTTTGTTTTTACATCTATATGTTGGAATGCTGTCTTTCTGTTTGGAGTCGACAAAAATTTTGACACCTTTGTTTATGAAGAAATTAAGTTGAATAACTGCTAATTTGATGATTCATTGAACTTGATTTTAGCTAACTTAACCTATACAATCATGTTTGTTTTCGTACTTGCCTGATGCATTCTTTGTTACTTTCCTTTCTATGAAGGACCGGTGGAAACTGTTATGTAGCATCTGTGGTGTTTCTTATGGGGCTTGCATACAGGTGAGCTTATCTTTAATTATTGGTTTTTCATTATTCTCTATCAGTTTGACATTTGCTGGTCGTCTCTTTGTGTGATTAGGAACCTTATCTGTATCTATCGGGCCACTTCTCTTTTCATTTTCCATCACATAGAAAGAGTGCGCATGTGCTGCCAGAATTTTACCTTCTGAATCATTGTTTGGCCTCTTCCTTGTGTACTTACGTATTAAAGATATATCTAATGTCTTCAACTATTGACAACCTAATGTCACATCATTTCTAAGATATATATAACTCTGATCCATGACTCAAGGCCTGTGTTTCCAGAAGAACTCGTGAAAGTGTTTGAAGGGAAGGACTATTCTTTCCATAATTTCAAATTGTCAACTTAGTTCAGATGTCCTTAACTATAGAAACTATTCTTATATATTTTTTTTTATTCAATTCTAAGGAAATAACCAGAAGACAGTAAACTTCCAAAAGACAGTCTTCTTACTAAATGGAAATTTTATAATATTCTGTCCTGTCGGATCTCCCTGGCTGAGAACCAAGTTTTCCTTGTATTCTTTGTTTGCATCATTTTGAGGAAAGTTTGAACTATAAAATCTCACTTCGCCTGGATGATCAGGACCTAGATTTAGAATGAAATCAAAACTGGCCACTATTGTTTTAAATGTGGTTGATGAGACTTAAGTAGTTTCAACGATACCAGATTTTTGTTGCCTCCTAAGTAATTAGAAGATTGTCAAACTGCTGTAATCATACTTTATGCTCTTTATGTGCCGATTTAGTTTGATGACAAAGATCTTTAACATCTTGGTAGATCATAGTTATTGAACTTTCTCATTTTAAGATCATGTTTCTTGCATGTGTCATCGTTTAATCCGTTTGAGGAAATTGCTGTTCCTTGACAAATTTTGGGTCCATTTGAATAAAGCTTGTCGCAAGCTTAGAAGAACCACACACTATGTGACCTAAAAACTCTCTTCCACCCGACCCAAAAGCTTTGTGATTTTTACTCAACAACAGTGTTGGTAGGTGAATATGTTGCAGTTGCTGTATTCACATTGTTATATTATGAATGATTCGCATTGCTTGCTTTTTAATAACATATTAACTAATTGTTATCAGCCTCACTTGTTTTTTATTATTGCTTAGTGTTCCAATCATACTTGTCGAGTGGCGTACCATCCCCTCTGTGCACGTGCTGCAGGATTCTGTGTGGAGGTAGTTTCTCATTTCTCAATGTGATAAGTTCTTCTACTTCAACATAAATGATAGTATCAGGGCTATGCATATCTCATTTGTGTATTAGTCGTTTAGAGGTGCAAATAAGTTAAGAGTTTATGTTCTACAGCTTGAAGATGAAGATGGATTGCATTTGATTTCTCCGGATGAAGATGACGATGACCAATGCATACGTCTCTTATCCTTCTGCAAGAGGCATAGGCCTGTATCTAATGACTCCTCCATAGCCGAAGATCGAAGTGGGCAAGGGACCTTTGAATATTCAGATTACTCTCCTCCGATCAATCCCTCTGGCTGTGCTCGTGCAGGTATCATCACATTCAGTGTCATTTACTCTGACTTAACATTCTCGTTTGAGTTAGGATTGCCATTTATACTTTTTGCTTTGAGCTTTTCATTTACTCTTTAGAAAATATGAGAAGCTGATTGATACCATTAGTGTTCTATGTTATGTTGCCACAAGTACTTACAGTTTTATTTCCCCTTCTTCCTCCTTTTTCTGGTTTATGATTATATGTGGCCTTTCCACGCTACAACTTTGTAAACTTCAACCTCTCAATATGAATCAAAGTGCTAAATTTGGTGATGAATGTTTTCGAATTGGAGTTCTGTCCATGCAGGCTTGAGAATAATGTCATCTACATATGTCCTGTCTGAATTGGTGGACTATATTGCTTCAATATTTCCCATCATTGCTAATGTACAGATTTTCGAAGAACCTTTTTAGTGTTAAGATCGGGATTATTTCTTAATAGTAGAATTTGTCATGCTCTTATCTTTAATGTTTTTAATTTGTACCATATGGTTAGAACTGGTACTTGAAAGGTTCCTATTAGTCAAGGTTGTTTTTTGTTGCAGTTAAGCTTTTGTCCATAAACTGTAACAAATATTTGCTCCAACTTTGTGCTGTTCCTAGAAAAGAACACGATTATTTTCATCAAATGTGTTATTATTATGTTGTCATCATCTTTCTAGAACCTTACAATTTTGAAAGAAGAGGAAGAAAAGAACCGGAAGCCCTTGCTGCAGCTTCCTTGAAGCGTTTGTATGTGGAGAATCGGCCACATTTGGTTGGTGGCTTTAGCCAACATGACTGCTTTGGGGCTCGCTTCAGTGCACTTGCTGGTTCTAGATTTTCAGCTGACCAGCTGAATCTCAAAACATCTCATCTTGATGCCTCTAGGGGCATTTTATCAGTGGCTGAAAAGTACAGATTCATGAGGGAAACCGTCAGAAAGAGGCTTGCTTTTGGTAAGCAGTTCTCCTTGATCCTCCTTTTTCAGTACAGTACTGTGTGAAACCTCTATGCGGCTCTGCGTGGATGAAAGAAGACAATTTGTAGTTCTGGCATAAATTTGCTCAGTTAATAGACTTTGTTGGAGAGTATACATCCCTCAAGTCATGATGTGTGGATTTCTATCATGTTACTACTGTGCAAAACAGCGTCGACTTGGAAGTTACCTCAATATGTGGATCATAAGTCGCCATGGGCCCAGTCAGCAATATTTCGTTTGATTTGGATTAAATTATATCATTTTAATTCTCCTTCCCCTTTTACTATGATTATCTAATTGGGGAATCTGAAGGTTTCCTGTGACTGCTTATGTGGTGGATTTGAACCTGGTTGCTACGACCAAAATAATAATGGATTGTAATCAGTTGTGTCATAATGGTTGACATGATTAAATGGATCTTGGTGTGGGGCTGAACAGCTGATTAAATGTTATGCAGTCCAATCTTGTGAAAATGTGTCCACATAGCATGATAGCGGCATATAATCCATACATCTGATCGCACGTGGTGGGATAAAGGCTTATTGCTTGGTAGATCAAGATTCAAGAGCCTATTTCTCTCCTAGTTTTTTATGTATAGAAGGGGCCTTATTTGTTTCTTCTTTATAGACCTTATTTTTGGTTTGAAGAACAGTTATATTCTTTGGTCTGCTAAGTGCATCCTTATTTCTTGTTCAGGAAAAATTTCGTAAATCATTCTATTGAACTATTTCAAGCATATGTGGTTGCCTTTTTCATTCGTTTATTTTTTCCCCTAAGAATCATTGTACATTTTATTATTTTTTGGTGTAGGAAAGTCAGGAATACATGGATTTGGCATCTTTGCAAAACAACCACATAGAGCTGGAGACATGGTTAGCTATTTCAGTACTATTTCTTCTAAAGTTTTCCTTTAGGAACTTGAGATATCTGAAGCTTTGGATGGTGTAAACTCAGGTGATCGAATACACTGGTGAACTTGTTAGGCCTTCAATAGCCGATCGAAGAGAACATTTGATTTATAATTCGTTGGTGGTAAGAATGTCCTATGCTATTTGTCTACTTCTCTTTTTGAATTATTTGTTCCACATATCATCAGAAATACATGCTCATGGTCTCCTCCATGCTTGCATATTTGGATGAACTTATTAATTTTTGGATAAACTAATTTGTCCCACTTTAAACTAATTTGTCCCACTTCGTTTAGTATGGAATCACTATTAATGTGTTTTCATGAATTTTATTTCAGTCTGGAATGTTTGTGTAGTATATTTTATTTACCTGCCTTGTCTGCAAATGAGACAATCAATAAATTTACAACGACAGATGACAGATAAGACTTAATATAACTACATGGATAATGTCTGCCATTGTATTGCATTAGAACAAGATTTCTTTTAACACACGAATTTGATTAAATTTTACACTGGCTTTGACCTAATCAATCATCCTTTCATGACTTGGTACTAATCAGGCTAGAGATTTTCGACACAGGTTGAGTTGTGCACATGATAGTGTTTTAAAGATTTCTGATTTCGTAGTTGTATTGATGTTTGCAAGTGGTCATTAAGTACCTGTGATTTTCTTCCATTCAAGCTGTTGTTTATGACTATGTCTCTCCTGTTATCTAAGCATGGTCGTCGTTCCGAAAATGACAGTTTCAAAATGCCTCTAGATAGTGATGTGGCTTTTTTGTATTTTTGGCATACTTGATTTCCAATTAAATTCTAGGGAACGTGTGATGATTCTATTTTGGTCATTAGTTTTCTTTTCGGTTTGAAGACAAACACACAGACACAGACATCACTGACTCCATAAAGCACAGTTAATGAACAATGTCAGTAGTGATTGCACAAAGGTTATGACTTACTACTTTTTTTTCAGTTATAGAATTTCTGAGCATATCTAAACTCCTCTTGCTGACTAGAATAAGAGTTATTGTAGTCATTGTCTCACATTTGTCTGTCTGGTGTTATTCTCTTTAAATCTCTCACAAAAAAGTTATTTACTTGCAGGGTGCTGGTACCTATATGTTTAGAATTGATGATGAACGTGTTATTGATGCCACGAGGGCTGGAAGCATTGCTCACCTGATTAATCATTCGTGTGAAGTATGTATCATTTCTTCTTTTTTTTTTTTTTTTTTTTTTCCTTTTGGAGTATGCTTTTTTAAGGCATGTTTTCTATTGCATGAGACTTAATCCAACATTATAGCTGCTTCTTTACCCTGGTGATGCAGTACTCCTTGGTTAGAAAGGCAGAAAACCGAGTTTTAAATTGGGACTAAAACTTTAAGAAAATTGCATGAGAATTAAAGTGTTCCAGGATTTCTTGTTAGTTTTGTGTTAAGCTTACTGAAAGGATGTTGCTGTGAGCTCTTTCCATTAGCGAATAGTTTCACTATACCTACTTTTGCCTTCTTCTCACAAATCAAGCCATTGCTAACTGGGACGTTTCGTAGGCGTTTTAAAAATTCAGGAAATTGAGTCGGAGTAAGCTGATCGAAACCATGATAGAATTACTAGAGTGCCTTTAAGGAACCATGCTTAGAATGATAGGTATTACACCTAAGGATATCTAGGAATCATGCCCAAGATCTGAATCAGAAAAATCCTGAAGAGGTCAAAGTGGCGGCAACAAAATTATGAAATCTCTTAGAAGTATGTTATTTGTGGGCTATGAAACCAAATTAGACTATAATTCCTCCTACAATTTCCCAAAGAATATCTTTTCCTTCCACATCAATTGCAAAAGATTATACATGATAAGCTTTAAAAACCAATGGAGGTAGTTGTCATCCATTCACATCCTTAGTTGATGTCTGTCATTCACATCTCTATTTACATATCCACATCAGTGCAGTGGTTGTATGAGTTGGGACAAAAAGAATAAACAACCTCTTAGTAACAGAGGGAGTGTTAGTTACCACTTAGTGGGATGAAACTAACCTTTTCTACCCATCACACCAATTTGCTCTCCCTCTTTCCTCATCAGTCTTTTGAACTTCTATTTGGGATAGAATATCAACTTCATTGTTGCCATCTATAAATTTATTGTAAGGTATCCTCACAGGTGTCTTTGTGGATTTGTTTCAGCCAAATTGCTATTCAAGAACAATAAGTGTGAATGGAGATGAACACATAATAATCTTTGCCAAAAGAGATCTTAAACAATGGGAGGAGCTGACCTACGACTACAGGTGCATAAGCTTATTATACTGAGAGCATCTTGTTCTCTGCTTTCTGTTGCTTCTTCTTCTCTGACATAAATGTTGTACACCAGGTTTTATGCTATTGATGAACAGCTTGCTTGCTACTGTGGTTTCCCAAGATGCCGGGGAGTAGTTAACGATCCTGAAGCTAAGGAACGAACTGGGAAACTATATGTACCTCCCTGTGAATTAATTGATTGGAAGGGGGAATAAGAGGTTGGTACTACCTACACCTTTAGGGTCCGTATGAATATTCTTTTTTTTAAAAAAAATAAAACATTTGAATGAACAAATTGTGACTTTTTAAGCAATTAACTTATAGTTATGTATTTATTTATTTATTTTTTCAATCTCGGATGCTTGTGCTATAAAATACTTTATTGGTGAGGAACTTTATAACACGGAAATTTCGTTTCAAAAGGTACAAAAGCTTACTGATTTATGTAGTTTGATTGTCTTGTGAGTTTAAATGAGTGTGATATGGCTGCTGATAATGTCCTGTGAATTTTTAAAAAGTTGTCTATTTCTTCCACCTTGTTTTTGGCGTGTTAATGTTATGCTTCAATTCTTACCTCCAATGGAGTGTTTCTTAGGGTTGATAGGTCCTTAAAATTGTAATGCTTTATAGTGACCCACTTCAATATCTAATACAATCTCAGTTTAAGGAGTCTTCCTACTTTAGTGTCAGCATTTTCATCTTGTGCTCAACCTGCATCCTCAAGAGGTTGGAATTGCAGTAGAAAATTGAAGGGTCGAAAGGATTTGTTTGTTTGAGTTGCAGTAAAAATTTCAGAAGTTTGCAAAATGCTTCTCCTGCGTTGGTGAATTCAAATATCCGATCAGCTGCTTCATTGATTAGGTTCTATGTATACATGTCAACTTGTCAATTGTCATCCTAAGTACCTATCCAAATTTTTTCAGATGGCTTTTTTTTAAAACCTGGGAGTGAGTGGATGGAAGTGATAGTAAGAGAGAGCAGTTTTCTTGGCAAGTCAGGAAATGCCCTCTATATCTCGAGAAAGATAGGGCATTCTTCTTTGTTGTGTGGTAGCCATCATTTTTCTGTTGAAATGAAAATAAAGAGAACAGAAAAATTAGGCAATGCAGGAATATTTGGGAAAAAAAAAATCCTTTGAAGTTTCTTTTAGTAATAATAACTGAACAAAACTGCCGAAAGTGTTTGTTAGAAGAGCCCCATAAATAGAGATTATATTCCAAATATCTAAGTTTGCTATTTGTAAACAATTTTACTGCTGCAAAGACCAAAGGACCGGATTCTACAAATGCTAAAAAAACTCTCTATTAACAGAATCTAAAAGATTCATTTTTCGTAATATGCAGAGTCTTGCATCAATTCTTCAGGCAGATAAGAAATTTGTGCTTGAGTTTAGGTTTATTTTCCTTGATCAAATGTGTACTCTGTCTCTAAGAACTTCTTGCTTTATCCTCGTCCAAAGCTGATAAAAGAAGTTAGTGGCATGTAGATCATCTGCCTTTGAAGGTAAAAGTTGTACCTGATGTATAAAATAAATTTTAGATATCTTCGAAGTTGATTTGCCTAATTCTGTCACCTAAGTTCCTTCCAAGTCCTGAATTTTCTGTTCAATGAAATGATTTTTAATGAGCTCCATTGTTGTACCCGACATTGGATAATCTTTTTCGTTATAGTTGTGAACATTTGACTTGTTCAATATCAAAAACCGCATGAAAGAAACAGTGGCCTGCGCCATTGTTATTTGTCTTCATCTAGCTAAATAAGGTTGGTGGTCCAATCAATTCTCCCCTGAATCCATTTCTGATAAGTATTAAAAAGATTCCTCTTCAGGATAACTTTCCAGTAAACCTGTAAAAATATTTTCATTATTCGATCATCTGATGAATAGTAAGAAATTCTCCTGTTTCACAAGTTCTGATTCATCCTCGGTACCTCTTTTCGGCTGCTGAAAGGGATGTTGATTATCTTCTGGCAGCTTGCATGGGATATTTTCTTCACAATACCTGTCAATGTTTGAATTTGCTGCATTAGATGCTCTACTTATCATTGTAGTTTGTCAATTTGAACATTCTGCTGAATATGGTTTAGTCGAGGATTTGGTTGTGCTTTACATGCCATCAATACCTCACGACTGATACCAATTTAGCGTTCACAATCCATGAAAAATAAACACAAAAAACTACGAAGGAGGCGCAATAGAAGAAATACAGAGCCTGTCTGAAATTTTCTTTTGTAAGAATAACTCAACAAAAACTATGATACTGTATTTTTTTCAAGTCGTAAATTGTCTGAATTATAGTCTAGTATCTAAATTTCCTAATTCTAAAACAAAATTGTCTGATAAGGAACACTGTTTCCAACTTTTTGTAGCTACAAAATGACAGCAGTATCAAGAATAGTATCTTTTAAAAATATTTTATGCTTGTGGCTTGTGGATGTGCTGAACAGAACAGCAGAAAGTGTGAAAATGATGAATCTTTTTCCTGCAGCTATATTGATATGTTGCCTTTTACCCATAGCTAAGAAAAGATATATGGCGCACACAAAATAAGATGTCTTTCTCCTTGAGCCTGATGATTTATTACAAATGTGTGTGTATAGTTTAATGGCTTTTATTCTTAAGGAGTTGGTCCCTTATGTCGAGACACTAAGTTAATGAAAACTCTGCTTGTAAGTCATGCAAAGACGAATAAATTCGTTATCTTGAAGAGTAATGATGATAAAATTCATTAATTGGAAGAATGGTGATGTCATTAGAAATGTACCTAGACGTTTTGTTATGATTGATAAGATACAATTACCTGCCTCGTTGAAACCATTTGCTTGCTATTAGTTGCATCTTTTTGTTATGATTGATGAGATACTATTAGTTGTGATCTGAAATGTTCTTTATTTATTTATTTGGGTAGAACCTGTTAGTGGGAATCAGGTTTATCAGAGTGTTGTTACTGACGTGTTGACCTCAATAAGACACTGCCTTTGGACAATTTAGTCCTATGTTTCTATGTATGAAACATAAAATCTTCATGCTACCTCTTCAGCGAGCTAAGAGATTGTGAATAGTCCCAAAATTTACATAATTGTTATGTGTCTACCGTCAATGGTTTTCACATCTTCCGTCTATCTTCTCCTTTTTGCAAGCTTATGTTCTTTGCATTTGTTACCTCACACCTTCAGCCCTATGTTACTTCTAATCATGAGTCCTTTAGTATTCTTTTACTGATTAGTCCTTTGCCTTTTATGCAGAAGAATTATATCGATAAACTTATGTTGTGAGATCTTTCTGAACGCCCTTGCTCTCGGTGGCGGCAGTCGCACATCTTCTATCCTGTGTCCACGGTCCAGCAACTTTGTACTGTCCTGTTCCTCTAGCTCTTCTGTGAGTCATTAAGTTCAGGCTTACAGAAACTTTTCTTGAGATGATTCTACCTTATTAAGTTGCTGTAATTCAGGGACGGTGTACATTTTTATTCAATTGATTTCTTCCATAGCAATGCTGGCCCCTCTTTTTTGGAGGCATAGCATCTGCAGTGGCTCTTTTTGTTGTAAACATTTGTAATTAGTGTGCTATATGTAGATTATTTTTCCATGTCGACCAATAGTATTGGAGACAAGTTGTTCCGAACTAATATCTTTGCAACGATAACATAGATAAGAGAAAACTTGGACATCCCTGAAAACTTGTTCCCACCAACAACCGCCTGCCCCTTGCGCCCCCACCCCAAAAAAAGCGTTTTTAAGTCCTTAATTGGGCACCAGTTAGTTGGAATGTTTTCATGTTGCATTTCAACTTTCTGAACCTCTGTTTCTTTTGCAAGAGAAAACTTTCAATCACAGGATGTGATTGTTTCTGTGGGGGTTGATTATTATTGTTATATATTTTTTAAACCGGGTTGATTTTTCAAAGTTTGGAAGCTGCCACTTAGCAATTCTATGTTTATAGGCTTTTGCACTGGACATGTTTCCCACTCCCCCACCCATGGCTGGATAGATGTTGCACATATGATGCATGGAGTCCCCAGCCTACAAACCCCTGGGATTTTGAGTATTGGTTTTCCGGGTCGAGAGTTTTAACAAGGAGGAAATGTTGCTATAACCATTGTCAGAATAAAGTTTAGCTTCAAGGTTTAGACTCTGTTAAAGTGTCTAAATGGTCATTGAATTCTAGACATATCTGTTGCTTAAGGGGCGATTGTCTTGTTAGAAACGTATTTACTGACTTCTTGCTGTTACTAATTTTTCTCCCACATTGACAATTCAGTTTATTCAAGCTGTAACTTCATGGCCTTTTTGTATTCTGTGATTCTGTGAAAGTGCTCTAAAATTTAAGGTTGTCTCATTGCATGGCTGATGTTTGAACTACTACTTCATCAAGAACTATCCCCAAGCTCGTCTAGAGTTTCTTTCCACAGTGATTTCTGATAATATCTTGTGTAATAATCACATTGTCACTTTCTTTTCTGTAATATCTGTGTGAGTATTTAGCTACTGCCTTGTTCAAGGTTGGGTATTTTTTTGATGGTTGAATTTAGCGCTCACCATGGACAATATCTTGTCAATCTGTGTAATTATCTGCACGAGGATTTAGCCTATGGTTGACTATGATCTGTGTGAAGATTTAGCTTGGTTGACTAGGTCTGAGCTTTGTGCTTCTAAGAGGAATGATCTTGAATACCCCCATCTGACCTGAGTCACCTGGTTATAAGCCTTCGGGGCTAACTGATGCGAGAAAAAGCACAATCAAAACAGTAAGGCACTGTCAATAAAGGATTGAGTATAATTTCTCTTTTACATTATTGGGCATAACATCCGACAAATGCTATGAAACTCTATGTCCTGAAATTATTGTCTAGTTTGGATTTTCATTTTTAGTATAAATTGAATTAAAAGGGAGAATCCAAACTTGACCATAATTTTGGGACAGAGGGAGTAACAATCAAGAAGAAGGAAACATGTGTTTAATATGGAAATTCCAAATTCGGAGTACTGTTGGAGCTAGTCCAGTTGAATTCGTCATATATCAATGGTCTTAGCATGATCAGCTAATTGACACACGCCACTTCATCTCCTAAATGCGTTGACATTGAACAATCTACATTGCATCATCTAAATACCTAGTTTATTGTTTGGGTGGGTTGGAATGATCATACCAAACGATAGAGCTAATTGAAAATCAGAAAAGAACTAAAAATTCAACGGCATTGCTTTTGGTTTGAAA